CCCACCGTGACACGAGTCCCCATGAGTCTGTGTGTAGTCAGGTTTAAGTCCCCACCAGGATAGAAAAACCTGTACACACTCACACACACACACATAAACAGACACAGACACACACACAGACACACACACACACACAGAGCTCTGTTCCAGTGAGCTGCCTACATAGGGAGCATCTGAAGGCGTCACTGCCGTACCTTGCCAAATCCTAGAATGCATTGCAACCAGCTCCATGAAAAAATTAATATAAATACCTTTATTCAATTCAATACTGAAATTTCTATAATAGTCAAGTAAAGTCACATTCATTTATATTGGGCTTTTCACAATACACATCGTTTCAAAGTAGCTTTACAGAAAATCATGATGTCATTGTTAATGTTTTTTACATTAAATGTTCCCAACTCAGTCCAATCCTCAAGAATCAGCTAAAAACGCAGCTCTTCCATCTAGGGCTGGGCGATTTGGCAAAAAAAATAAAATATTGATTTTTTTTCAGAACGTTTCACCGATTCTCGATTTTTTTTTACAATTTGTAACTAGTTAACTTTAAAATGTAATTACAACATGATTCAAGTAACTTTTTCTTTATTAACCCTCTAGTTAAAGAAAACTCTATTCCGAGTGCAGCACACATGAAATTATGAACATGATGTAAATGTTAAACTAATAACTTGTTAAATATCTTCGCAGAAAAGATGCATGAACAACTACATCTTGTACAAACTTGTCTTATACATCTTATATGTTCAGAAATAATAGGCTATAATAAAAATGCTTCAAAAAATTCTCAACAGTCAATGTAACTCAAATTCAAAATGACTGACTTTATACATAGAATCCCAAAATTGTACATTTCTAAACTGTACTTCTAAATATATCTGTACATTCATTTAAACAGTTACGTTTCTCTATATTTCTACTTCTGTATATAGTGCATTATTTAATTTTCTGTTTTTCTTATATTAGTGTTATACTCCATCTCTACTGTGTAATTCCTATGTCTGCTGTCTGTATATTTCTATTAAAATAATATTTCTATTAAAATCGATTTCAAAAAAATTAAATCGTGGCAAAACATTAAATTCGAATTAATAGATAAAATCGGAAAAATTGCCCAGCCCTACTTCCATCTTTATCTGACCCTCTAACTCCAGCACTCTATTCTAATTCTATTCTAAACAAAGAAAAAAAACTTGCCCCTTTTAAACTTGCACTCTATTCATTTACTAACTGCTTGTTTTCTTAAAAAAAAAACTTAACACTAGCTTCTCTATTCTATCTATTTGTTTTCTTTTTATTTATTATACAATTAACAAAAAGCAAAAAAAGGCTCTTGTGTTGATTTTGATTGCTTCTATTGTCCTCATTTGTAATTCGCTTTGGATAAAAGCATCTGCTAAATGACTAAATGTAATGTTTATAATATCGCAATATCTTCATAGCGTATAATTGCATTTATCAGATTAGTAGCTGGACGATAAAATAGTTACCTTTTGTGACGATATAAACAAACAAGCAGTTGAGATTTGCAATATAGTATATATATATCGCTTTATGTAAGTGTACTACTGTGTGTATGAGGATAAAGTTGGATATTCTAGTATATAATAGTTTGGTGTAATGAAAAATAGCCAGTGTTTGTGTTGCTGTGTATTTTTATGCTCAGAGTATTGTGTCATGAGTTTAACATCATGGAGGCATCAAACTGAATCAAGTGTGTGTGTGTGTGTGTGTGAGAGTGTGTGTGTGTGTGTGTGTGTGAGTGTCTGTGTGTGTGTGTGTGAGAGAGTGTGAGTGTGTGTGAGAGAGTGTGAGTGTGTGTGAGAGAGTGTGAGTGTGTGTG